ATTGTCCGGTAATTTATTTATAATTTTTAATAATGAATTATAATTTATCAAGCTATGTTAAAGTGGCCGAAAAGATCATTGATCTTGTGATCTCGACATTTTTTTGCCATGACTAACCTATCTTACAGACACAGAATTGAATATCATACTGTAATAGTCTAGAATATTTTCTGATTACAAACATGCGATACAGTAGACCAAGCCCCATAGAGTATGTACAATATGAAGCCACATAAATAGATTAACCAATCAGACGCAAAAGAGACACACCATTTTAAATGCCTGTAAACCATACTCTACTGGGGTGTCCTATATCAGTCTAATTACAAATATAGTACAGGTTACATAGTGATGATCACTAATAAAAATTTTTTTAATAAAATTTTTCGGATCTGCACTCTATATTAAACGATTATAAAAATAGACCTTACTTCGCCTTTAATTCCTCCTGTAATATTTAACATTTTTTAATTCTGTAAAAGCAAACTATTTAATAAAAGATGCCTTTATATTGTAACAATGTTAGATTTTTACTTATCTTTTAATAACCAACTAAAATCTGCTAAAATATATTAAAAAGATATTTATTCTTGTTGAGGGTATTAGTTTTTTGCAAATTTTTCATTAAAAAACAAAAGACTGAACAAATTCGAAAAAACTTAGACCACTATTGAAAATATATAATGTGAGGTCTATTCTTTTTAGAATTAAGAATATAGAAAGATATTACCACTTTGGCTAAAGATCTATCATATAATAGCTTTTAATGGTTACAAACTATCTATAATATTCTTATTTTTATGTAGGGTTGTATATTAATTAATTCAAGAGAACATTAAAATTCTAGTTAACACGACTTAGAAGAACGTTGAAAAATAAAGGATAAATCATGTACTCTACGGTTTTCATTATTATTAGGACAGTAGTTAGTTTTAGGTTTGTAGGTAAGAAAACTGTTAAGAATTTCATAAGCCTGTTCTTCTCTTGAATTATTACTATTTTCTATACTGATCTCAGAGTTTTTTATATCTTGCCGAATATTTCACAACATATCTTGAAAAATATTTTGAAGTCCACCATCTGAAATTGAGAGTTAAATGCATGATTCTTGTAACTTAGCATCCATGTTTGGGTAGACCTTTATATCGTAATAATTAAACAATTCCTGTTGATGCACCGCAATGCTCTATATGCGATACTTAATAAATTCATATATAAGAGAGAAGTTTATTAGTTCTACTTTGTCAGAATTTGCAACTATTTCAAACTCTTTAAAAAAATTATACTGTAATAATGCTTCTAACAATCCAAATATAGCTAAACGTCCGTTAGATAAATCCTCCTTCAAAAGCTCAATATAGAAGATTTCTCTTGAAGAAGGAATCTTTGATGAATCTTTATTAAAAAAACTTTTAAAAAGGCACGCGCGAATTCTGGACCACTTTCTCCACCTAGTTGACAAATACTTAAAGGCAAGTGAATCCAGATTTTCATCCATTTAACAAATCCGTTTAATGCATTTTCTATCTCTATAATGAGTCACGAAAATTTTCAAAATCAATTACATTCAACTCATTCTCAGCATCAACTAATTCATCCCCAAATAACTTATAAATATCTTTTAGATAATGTTGAAGCCTTTGAATCCAGAAAATAATTTTATCTGGCATTTCATGTGTGCGATTACCCAATAGAAGAGCACTTATATTATTTGGATAGTAGATTTGTGGCGTTGGATCGTGTCTGATTAAAAGGTTGTAAACGGGTTCATAAAACTCTTTACTGAATTTAACAAGGCATCGTATTTGGAGATTAAGTCGTTTATCTATAAGCCACTTAAGAAAAGTTTCCTATTTATTTAAATATGATTTTGGAACATTTTTGGCATTTTTAAGTTGTTTGATAAAATATTGTGCAAAACAAATATGAGTTTCGCGCCTATTAAGATATTGTTTTGCAGTTTTGAGTTCATATAACCACTGTTGACGAATAGGTTGTTGGTACTTGGTCATTTCAAAATTAAAAAGCACTTTATAAAGTTTTTTTATTATTTTAGATTTTAGATTTAACAGGCTATCCTTATCTAAAAGATCGTACCCGTCATAAAGATGAAAAGCAAGGTTAAGTAAATTAAATAGATGTTCTTTTAATGATAATCCCTTGATAGTATCTAATTTACCAAATGCTTTATTTTGAAATTTATTAAGGCAATATGGGTTGCATATAATTCACAAGAAATATGGAATGATTTGAAGGCTGCTAATAAATTAAATTTAGCAATTGCACTATTGGCCTCCAAAGACATATAAGCCATATTGTCGGTTAGCCAAAAGTAACACTTTTTTGGATCAATTTCTTTTTGGTTACACATTTTATATACCGTAGTTAAAATTGTCTCGGCATTACAATGTATTATATTGGTTACTTTGGCGACAGTAATTATTGGCTTATCTTTAATATTATTCCAGTATGAAAAACAAATTATTAATATTTTTGTTTTACCTCATGTACTTTCATCAGCCATAATACTATAACTGAAAAATCTAGAAGAAGCCTCTTTGGGGCTATTTTGATTAGAAGTTATAGCTGCAATTTCATTATTCCACCATGATAAAGTTGTCGATTTTACCCAATATTGTGGCTTCTCTCCAGTCAAGAATTGATACACGGCTTTTGTATATTCTACTGTTGCATGTATTGAAGTTTGTCTCATATTACTTATATTAGTAGCTAATTTTACAAATTTGGCATTATATTCTTTATTTTTAGATTTAAATAATTTCCTGGCTGCACGTTGAAATTGAGCAGAACGAATTTGTTTGGCTTTACGAACGGAAGATCGAATTTTTGAAACTTGTTTTAGTCTTGACTGTTTTGCTCTTGCAAGTCGTACTGAGAATGAATGAAATTAAGCACTGGTAAAATGTTTATTTTTTAAGCGCTGATTTTCTTGCTTCAGATTTTTACTTTTTGATTCTAATATATCAATAGTGCAACCATGTTTATAGAGGCTAGTGTCAACAAATTCACGTGCCTTTTTTGTAAATATATAGAATAATCTCTCTTTTATTATTTCCTCAAGGATAGGTTATAGTTTGAAGAAGGTTTAACACATCACATACTGTTGATCAGGTAAATTACAAATACTAATAAATATGTCATTACGTTTTCTTTGAATATATTTATTCATTTTCTGGGATTTAATGATTTTTCTTATCTTAGAATTAAAGTCGGCATTGCCTGGAATTAGTTGATCAAGTAACTCTCTTTGAACACAAGTGTTTATTTCTCAAGATTCAAAAATATTTTTTATGCTAGAAACGAAGTCATCATCATTTAGTTGAGTGAAAGTTGGAATTAGGTGATCAAGCAATTTTTTTGAATATTAAAATCCATTTCTCGAGATTCGAAGATTTTTTTTATTATCCCTTAAGCTGTAGAGTTCGTGTAACAATTTTAGCTTAAAAATAGCATAAATTTAGTTATGATCTATTT